GGGGGGGGGGGGGTGGGGGGGGGGGGGGGGGGGGGGGGGGGGGGGGGGGGGGGGGGGGGGGGGGGGGGGGGGGGGGGGTCAAAGCGGAAAATTTCCTACAAGAAAAAATTTGATAGAGATGGATTTGTTGTGCGATATTAAGAAAAAACAAAAAACGTCCTCGGATCTTGCTGATGGGAAATCGACCAACCAATGAAATTGCACGGAACCGACGGAACCTCCCGTAAGACCCTCTGACGCACACGCGCGAGGGCGCCGCTCGTGTGTGTGCTCTGATTATTCAACGGGTTCTCTCTTCCGCCTGGCGCTGTCCCACCACCGCCGACTCCTTCTCTCGCCTAATCAATGGCTTGTTTCTCCTGCTCGGCCTGCTGTCTCTGTGCCCGCTCCGACATGAGCTCCGCGTCTTTCTCGCGCCCAAACTCCGGAGCCATGCTGCAACCAGCTTTGCTCTCTTCCTCACTTTTCCTACTTTCGCCCAGCTCCTCCTTCGTTCTTTCCAGCGCTTTCTGCGCGGCGATGATGCTGCCGCGCTCGATAGCGCGCCGGGTGTCGTCTGCTGTTGACGCCTTAGCCACAGACTTCCCCGTCCTCTCTTCAAACTTCGCCTTGTTTTTCCTTAGATTCAGCGCAGCGCGCCTGCCGCCACCGAACGTCGTGGACCTCCGTTTTTTTGGGGGGGAGGGTCCGCGGTGGACGCCGCAGACCCGCTAGAAGGGCCGTTTTCGGACATGCAGATCTCGGGGTTGGCTGACGCAATTCGGGCGCGGTCTGTTGTACTGTATAGTTGTACACCCAAGGTAGAGGACTGCAAGCTCGCTTTCACGAGAGGAGAAAAGGTCGCCTTGGGCGTGGGCAAAACAGCTGAAGTAACCCTGTTTTTCTGTGTTCGTCCGCCCATTAAACTTAAAAAACCGAGCTTGCAGTCACCTCTATTGGACCTGTGTCCAGGTGCGTGTAACGTATGAAGGGCCATGCTGCTGTCTGGACGCAGAGCTGCCTGCACAAACAAGTTGACTTGATATACCTCTCCCTTCTTCCCCTCGCGCCTCGACAAGCTTTTGCTTAGACATGGGTTATAGCGAAGGGGGGGGTCTTTCTGGCGAGCAGGGCTAGACTCACCCTCAAGGGATGACCGAAACCTTCTTGCTGCTGCGCATCCGCCGCGAGGCGTGCGTGTGGTGGTGGAGTTGGGTCGGCACTGATGGGGTCAGGCGGGAAAATGTAGATGCGCGGGCCTTTCTNGCGACGAGCTGAACTGGGCTGGTTGACCATTCGGCGCGAGAATTTTTATGTTTTTCAGACCAAGAACCTTGAGTGCAATGAGGGAGAAAGCGAGGAACGGACTGGGAAGGACAGCAACGAGAGCGTGTACGGACGGAGCAGGTCGAGTGGCGTTTTGCTCGGGCTGACTACAGCGGCGCCGGATGGAGCAATGGCACCGGAGCATGCGGGCGACATCGACCCGTGGCGCACGGACAGACATTTCTATCTGTGTTGTCAGTTTTTTCCGTTTTTTTTCTGACTTTCCGTGTTGGTTTTGTGTGATGACGTCGTCACCGGTTTTGTAGAGAGACCCGTCAGAGATGGCGTGGCTAACCCGGGTGC